AACTCAAAGCACGTTCTTATGTCTCAAATTATCATAAAAATATTATGTACTACGATTACGTATTTCGTTATTGGAACCAACCAATGAAAGAGAAAATCGAGATTACCTAGAAGCCTTGACGATGGAGAAGACAATGTGTTTGTCCGATTTTGTTACGTTTTTTGTTGTTATTTTTCTTTTTTTTCCCCCATTTGAGGTCTTTTCGTTGGTGTTTAGTTCTTTTCGTAGTTTATTGTGTGTTTCACTTTATTTTAGCTTTCTCTATGTTTTTTGTTTGTTTTTCCAGATTTCTGCGTTTTTTTTCGTCTTTTGTGATGTGCAGGTTGAGTACCTTGGTCGATTTTGATGTGGAGGAGTGATATAGGATATTATACTAGACCGAGTTTAATAGATAAAACGAATACATATTGGAGGATTAACCCACGTATGGACTATGACATATAGCATAACGATATGGGCCAAGCCAACTTGAGCCCAAAAATGTACTCTCCCCCTATAAAAGGGGGCTAAGGTATCACATTCTTTCATTCTCTATTCATTTCACTACTACACACTCTCTCTCTTGATCTGAGTACTAACTTAGGCATCGGAGGCCCGACGCCGGGCCACCCCCGGCGTTGGGTTCTTGCAGGTATGGAGGCCGATCGAGCTGAAGGAGCCCGGGTGAAATCTATTTCACTTCATTGGCGCCGTCTGTGGGAGCCGTTCAAAAAGTCAAGCGGAGTTTCGACTGAAAAATTGAAAACCTCCTTCTTCTCACCGGCCGCCGCCACCGCCGTCACCGCCGGCCGCTGGAAAACTTGATCTGATCGGAAAATCGTTCGCGTCATCGGATAGATCTCCTTGAGATGATTCTACCCTTAAAATTTCATGCAAAAATTCCAGCGGGAAGGCGTTCAAGTTCGTGGTCAAAGTTTTTAAATCTAGCAAAAGTTTGGTCAAAATTGGACATTCAAACCCATTTTCCCAGCGATCCGTGAGGGCTATGAAAAATTCGAGGGTACCACCGGAATCCTCTCGACGAGGCGAATCTCCAGATGCTGACCTTTCCCGCACGCCCCCGTCTGCCGGCGCCGGCGCCGTCGCCTCCACCGTCGGTCGCTGTCCAAAGTTATTCGATCGGGAAAACTCTTACACCATCGCGAAGCTCTCGTCGTGCACATTCTACCCTTAAAATTTCGAGAAAAAATCTCATCCTGAAGGCCGTCGATTTACCGGTCAAAGTTTGTGGATGTAAGAAATAATTGGTCAAAATCCGGTCATCTTCTCCATTTTT